AGGATTCGTATCCTATTGGTTTCAAGAGATGAAAGGCCAACTCTAAGAACATCAATCTTGTGATTCTAAAATGAATCTAAAATAAGACAGATTCTAGTTCAAGCCTGCTCATCTGGAAGCAGATGGAAAAGCAGAAAATTATCTAACTGTTGTTGCAAACTCTTTTTGAATACAATCAGAGACTTGAGAACATTGGTGCAAAATCAAGAAATTAACTGTGAGTTGTGATTAATGTGGTAGTCAAGTTTAGATGGGAAGAGATCCTCAAGGCTAATCTCTGATCTCCCAGCAATGTGATAGGTCCAGTCTATTTTTGCTTACCAGTACATCTTCATTAACTTTGATCTTTTCAAACCCTAGGCAGATATCTCTGAGTCCTACAAGAAATTGGGTTTGATCAAGATCTGGAAGCCCTGGAGAAGATGACCCTAAAACTCACTTAAATTATGTAGAAAATTCCTGCCTACAATTGAGTCCACTCTCTGATTTACTCATCAAAAAAGCCACGACACAGTCACCTCACAGTCGATGACCTCAAGGTGATTCATTTTGTGTCTGCTATTGGCCTCCTTTTATGTTTAGTCACAAGCTTGCGTCCCCACTAAGCCTTGAGGCTTCTTTGTACCTAGTGATGATATTGACCGTTTGATAAATGCTTATTAAATATTTGCTACTGCATTAAAAGCAGCAGCACAGCAAGGCCTTTAATGCTCAGATAGTTCTATGATGTTGGTGTTATTATTTTCATTTTATAGATGAGGACATTGAGACTCCAAGAAGTTCAGTAATGTGTCGTGGACACAAAGCAAGGTAGAGCAAGAGCCAGGATTCCACTTTTGTGTGTGTCTCAGAAACCTACGTCCTTAACCACTAACTATTTTCTCTATGATCCTTGTCTCTGATAAGGAAATTCACATAGAAATCCATATAAACATTAAGTGTATATTTGGCATATGAATCATCATCAGAGACTTAATAACTAGAACTGAGCTGTTAGGAGCTTACATTTCTTAGCAGTAATCTTGAAAGCTCCACACAGCTCTGCTAAACTGTTTTGTTGCCCTGACTTAAGATTATGAATGGGAGGGCCTCCCCGGTGGCGCAGCGGTTGAGCGCTGGGTTGCGAAGCTGCCCGCAGCCTCTGCGGTGCCGGTTCGATCCCCGGCTGCTCCCGGGCCACCAGAGGAGGGTCCCACGTGGTGCGCAGACCTCTCCTGCCACCCGCTGCTCCCCTCAGCAGTGTACTTCGGTCCTTCTGCCTGCTCTGCTCCCCGCTCTGGCTCTGGTGAATTCTCTCACCCTCCCGGGCTTCTGACTGTACCCAGTGCTTGTATAAATAAATAAATAAATAAATCTTTAAAAAAAAAAAAAAAGATTATGAATGGGAAATGAAGAGCAGTCCAGAGGTCATTCTTAAATGTTGCTATGCCCTGCTCATCTGCTGGCATCCCACAATAATGGTAGAAACGTCTTTCGAATGGAATATTGTAGTGTCTTTGATCACAACTTGGGGGTCATATGGAGATAGAATTTGGTGGAGTGGTAAAGTCTGGAGAGTGGGTGAATTCCCTAACTTCTTTTGTTCCTCTCAGATGTCCCCTTTATTTGCCAGGATTCTCCATTTTCCTAGTTATTGTGTTTTGTTTTTTTGTTTGTTTTGTTTTTGTGGGACCCTCATGGGCGGCCGGGGAATGAACCAGCGCTGCAGAGGCTGCGGGCAGCCTCGCAGCCCAGCGCTCAACCGCTGGGCCACCAGGGGAGGCCCTTTCTAGTTATTGTGACAGCTTTACTGCTCGATGATGTGCTACCACATTAATCACAACTCATGGGTAATTTCTTGATTTTGCACCAGTGTTCTCAAATCTCTGATTGTATTCAAAAAGAGTTTGCCACAACAGTTACATAATCTTCTGCGTTTCCATCTGCTTCCAGATGAGCAGGCTTGAACTAGAATCTGTGTCTCATTTTAGATTCATTTTAGAGCCACAAGACTGATATTCTTAGGGTTGGCCTTTCATCTCTTGATATGAGTCCCAGAAGAAACCGATGATTGTTTAACCAGCTGCTTGGCCACTGCCTACTTTCTACCCTAGGGTGGGGAACCCTCACTAGTTCCCAGCTAGTGTGGATTTTTCCAACCCCATGCAGAGCTTACTGAAGGTGCCAGCTCACTAATTAATCATCCTTCTAATTAATGTAAAACAAGGACAGACAGAACAAGTTCCTAGTACTCTGTGGAATGTTTCAAGGGAACTATTTCCTTTCCACTTATGAAGAGGAGGGAGGGACAGGGTTCTTTTCTCTCCAAAGCCAAGGTGAGGGGATCCAAGAGAAGTTCTAGTAAAGACTGAAGGTGTCTGCTAAAAGTTTTCTGTTTGCATAAACTCTTTTCGTCTCTCCATTTCCAGCCCTTTGCACTCTTCTCTCTTTCCTGGGAGGGTGATCTTATGGAAAATATTAATGTGCTCTGATGGGTTTTTCCAATGGGGAACCCCAGCAGGATGTCATAGGGAAGGAGGAGAGTGATAACAAGGTGTTTATGTTACTAGATCCCTCTCTAAAAGGTCATTTTAGGCTGTATGGCTTGCCCCAAACACTCTGGTCTCTCAAGGAAGCCTGCGCTACCTAGTTTTCTCTTTCTAGATTCTAGTTCTCTCTCCTTCCCCTTTTTTCTTGAGTTTAGGGGTGGTGTAGCCATAAGGCTGCTACCCCTCTGTAGGTTTTCCCACTACCCCTGTGTAGTTCTCTCACATCCTAACCACCCCTTTATAAGTTGTCCCTTTGTAAATAAACTTCTCTCCAATTATCCTAATTTAAATGTGCCAAATGTCCCATCTGTCTTCTATTGGGTTCTTGGCTATTGTAGGAAAACTGGCAGAATATGAATCTCCTGGTGCTTTCACTGGAGTGTAGAGGAGTGAAAAAGTTATAATAAAAGAACTCTGAGGCCCTAGGAGGATGGAGCATTGTCCCTTTTAGTCCTCACCCCCTTTATTGGGAAGAGGAGAGAGCCATGTGTCTTCTGAATTTGGGGGACACACTTTAATATAGAAACTTATGTTTGTTGTTGGTCTGGAGGGTTTTTTTATTTTTTATTTTTTTGCATAGAAGAACTAGGGTGTAGGCCAGAGGTGCAGGGGATGAGAGGATTCACCAGAGACAGAGTGGGGAGCAGAACAGGCAGACTGACTGAAATACACTGCTGAGGGGAGCAGCGGGTGAGGCAGGAGAGGTCTGCTGTGCCATGTGGTTAAGTCCCTGGCTGGGGATCGAACTCAGGTTGTAGTGGTGATAGTGCTGAGACTTAACCTCTAGGCCACTAGGGAGGACCCTGTTTTAAAATTTTTTAATGTGTTATTTTGTATTCAGGTCATATTGGCATACTGTATATGATTTAGGAGCGTAATTTCACACCTCTTTAAATGTATGTTACCACACCATGCTCACCACCAAGGCGCCTAGAACCTTCCAGTTCCTAGGAGTCTCTCCCCACTGTGCTCCCCATTCCACTCTCACCTCCTGGTAGCCTCAATTTTGCAGTCAGATTTTAGGGTTTGTTTTGGTTTAGCTTTGTCTGTTCCTTTGTTTTGTTTCTTTATATGTTCCATGTACGAGTAAATCATTCCATTTTTATCTTTCTCCTTCTGACTTACTTCGCTTAGCATAATCCTCTCCAGTTTCACCTATGTTGTTGCAAATAGTAAGATTTCATCTTTTTTCTTTAATTGGCTGTGAATGAAGGAAACTCACTGGAGATTTTTAAAGGCGACACCTGTTAAGAAGACCTGAAGGACCATAATGTATTTTGCCTTGGAGATGGCAGATGGAAGCCATTGTCACCTCACCCTACTTCTCATCTACTAGCCCTTAACAGGTACAGAAGAAGCTATCAGTGAATCCAGTAGCTCTGTGTGAAGAGGTGTGGAGCTAACCAAGGAGCAGAAGCCACAGGACTGCAGCTTTCCAAATGATGGGTTAAGTGTCAGCACTGTGAAGCTGTCTGCAGCCATTGCAGCACAAGTTCCATCCCCAGCCAGGGAGGTGACCCACATGGCGCAGCAGACCTCTCCTGTCTCGCCCGCTGCTCCCCTCAGCAGTGTATTTCAGTTGATCTGCCTGTTCTGTTCCCCACTCTGTCTTTGGTGAATCCTCTCACCCCCCACACCTCTGGCCTGTACCCCAGTTCTTGTATGCATAAATAAATAAATCTCAAAAAAAAAAAAAAAGGTAAACCAACTACTCAGCAGAAGGAAGGGACCATCCACACCGCATCCCTAGCGGTGAGGTTCATCACTACCTGGTGTCATTTCTTTTCTGTGCCTACAGGAGGACTTACTCCTAATAGAATTTTTTTTTTTAATCCACTAGAGACCCACTTAAAACTAACTGAAGCAAACCAGGAAGATTTCTTGGATGGACACTTGGTATCTCACAACTGAAGAACTGAATCTAGGTGTTGGCACCGAAGACCTGGTTTCAAGGATGCTGGGTGGAAGCTTTATGACTCAGGGGAATTCCAAGCAAATCCCCACTCTCCACCCCAGAGTCTGGACAACAAATCCACCTACTTTCACCTGCCTGGCATTATCTCATACTTGCCTTCAATTAAAAAGTCCCGATCTTGCCCTGATCACTTTCCACTGGAAACACACCCACGCTTCAAACATTTCACCTCCCTCATCTCTGTGGCCTGTTGTTCTTTTACTCATTTATTCACCAAAATTGGGTGGAGGTGATGCCACTGTTCATCTGGAAGCCTGTGCCTTCGGCTCCGGGCGGGGGTGTGGGACTAGCACCTGGGAGTCTTGGCCAAGTGATAAGAGTGGGTGCACCTTCCGGAGCTCATTGAGAAAACACCGCCAGAGGCCCAGAGAGGAAGCGGTGGTGGAAGGTGGAGACCCTGGAATCCCACACAGCAGGGGCTGGGGCCGGGCGTGGCTTCTCTGGGTAGGCCTCCGAGCTGCTTATATACCTCAGCTTCCCGTCCAGGTTCGGGCAAGATGGCCAAGTACACGGTCCGCGTGGCCACCGGGGCCTCCCTCTTGGCGGTGCCCGGCAACCGGGTGCAGCTGTGGCTGGTGGGCGAGCACGGGGAAGCCGACGTGGGCAAGCAGCTGCGGCCAGCAAGTGGCAAGGTCAGTGCCAGGCTCTGCAGGGCGGGAGCCGGGCCTGGAGCCTCGCGGAGGGCTCCTGGGGAGCCAGGTAGGGAAGGAGGTCGGGGCGCGCTAGGGAAGGTAGGGTAAAAGGAAAGCTGGAGGGCGGGAAGAAAAGAGCAGAATTTCCCACCGGGGTGGAGCCAGTAGACTTGCAGAGCTTTCCCCGACGCTGGTGGTGGAGGGGTGGGGGCGGGGAGGGGGGAGCAGGCGGGAGCTCCCCAGAATGGGCTATGCCTCTTCAGCCCCAGCCCGGGGCTCAGGCCTCTCCCGGGCAGTGCTCGGAGGCGAAAATGCAGCCGCCGTCCTCTGAAGTTTCGCTGACCCAGGCGCCCTCTTTGAGGACCCCAAACCAGCCTGCTGACCTTCGTCCTGACCCGCAGGAAACCAAGTTCGAGGTCCAAGTCTCCCAGTACCTGGGGCGCCTCCTGCTGGTGAAGCTGCGCAAGCACAAGGTCCTGCTGGATCTGGACTGGTTCTGCGAGCGGATCGCAGTGGAGGGTCCCGGCGCCCGGGGCGAGGCGCTCTTCCCCTGCTACCGCTGGGTGCAGGGCGACGGGGTGGTCAGCTTGCCGGAGGGCACCGGTGAGGGCGTGAGGATGGGGGGCGGCGCGGAGGGCTGCAAGCAGGAGGGGTGGATGGCGGATACCATGGTGGAAAGGGAAAGGTGAGAGACGAAGGTGAGGGAAGTGAAAAGGGGCTAAGCAGCATGGCTGCCGGAGGGGGCCCAGCGTGCAGGGGTGTGCTCTAGTAACGCCCTCCCCCAGCCCGGACCGTGAGCGACGACCCCCAAAACCTGTTTAAGAAACTCCGGGAGGAGGAGCTCGAGGACAGAAGGAGGGTGTACCGGTGAGTCCGAGGGCCTCTGACCCCTGCCGGGCCTCGCGGGGCCACCGCCTGCCCTGACCGCGCGCTCTTCCTGCAGGTGGGGCGCCTGGAAAGATGGGTTAATTCTGCCTGTCGCGGGGAGCACGCCGTGGGATCTACCCAGGAACAAGCGGTTCCGCGAGGACAAAGATTTAGACTTCTCGCTCTCTCTGGCCAAAGTGTGAGTGCCGGCCGGGCTGGGGCTGGGCACTGGCATCCCGGACCGCCGGGCGGGCTGCTTTCTCGGTCTTCCCGCACGGCCTCTCTTGCCACAGGCTTAGGGACTTGGCGGTCAAGGGAACTCTGGATATCACAAAATGTGCAAACAGCCTGCAAGACTTCGAAAGAATATTCCCTCAGGGAAAGACTGCCCTGGCTGGTTAGTTACCACAACCTCCCAAAACCCATGTGCTTATTTCTAACCCAGAGGTTTGAAAGAAGAGAGAGGGTAGCGAGTGTGGATGTGTGTGGATGTGGAATGTGGAATGTGTGTGGATCAGGAGCTCGGCGCTCCCCAGGGGCTCCCCAATTGATGTTCCTAGAGCGGGTTCGTGAATGCTGGAAGGATGACGCCCTCTTTGGGTACCAGTTTCTCAATGGTGCAAACCCCATGCTCCTGAGGCGGTCCAAGCGTCTCCCAGCCCGCCTGGTGCTGCCCCCAGGGACAGAAGACTTGAGGACAGAGCTGGAGCGAGAACTCCAGGTGCTGGGCGCCCTCAGTTCACTTCTCCTGTCAGCCATTGTCCCCACCTCCTTTCTCTCCTCCTCCCTCCCCCAGTCTCTCCCATCTTCACCTCTTTTGTCTACACCCTCCTCCACCTGCACTTAGGGTTTGTCTCTTTGGAACTATTGACAGGTTGGGTCAGGTGGCTGTTGTGTGTCTGCTGTGCAGGGTAGGATACAGAGTAGCATCCCACCACCTAGATGCCAAGAGCAAGCCCAATGTGATAACCACAAATGTTTCCAGACATTCCCAAATGTCCTCTGGGGAGCAAAATCACCCCTGGTCAAGAACTACGGATCTACACCATCTGCTGTATCTCCTGTTGCTCTCCCATCTCCATCTTCATCTCTTCCTTCTTCACTAGATGCATGTCCATTTTTGGAAGGAGATCAAGCTTTTGGAGGAAAATAGAAAGAGAATGCGAACATAGCCCTGCAGAGAGCTGGAGCCATTTCGGGGAACACTTTCGTGCTACATTTGGTTAAATCCTAAAAGAGTGGGGGGGATAGGGCCTCCCTGATGGCGCAGGGATTAAAGACAGTGCTATCAAGCTATCAGCAGTCACTACAGCGAGAGTTCTATCCCCGGCCAGGGAGCTACCCACATGAAACAGCAGACCTCTCCTGTCTTGCCCAGTGCTCCCCTCAGCAGTGTATTTCGTACATCTGCCTGTTCTACTCCCCACTCTCTCTGGTAAATCCTCTCACCCCTCGCACCTCTGGCCTATGCCCCTGCTCTTGTATGCATAAATAAATAAATCTTTAAAAAAAGAGTTGGGGGGTAAGGGAAGACTTTGTGGGAGATGGGGGTATGTGGTAGAAAACCAGAAAGTTCACTACAGGGACCTCCAGTTCTAATGGAAAACATTGGACATGGAAACCTTGCATTTAGGGCTTTGGTTATGATGAAAGTGATTGTTCTTTAAAGTAAAAACACTTGGGTAGCGAGGGGAAGGGTCCACCATGAACAGTGAGAGAAGGTTAGGTCCAGAGCTGATCCTAACACCTTTTATCAATCCTGGTCCTCGGTCCTCCAGGCTGGATCTCTGTTTGAGGCTGATTTTTCCCTGCTGGAAGGGGTCAAGCCTAATGTCATCATTTTTAAGCAACAATATGTGACAGCCCCGCTGGTAATGCTGAAGCTACAGCCTGATGGAAAACTTTTACCCATGGTCATCCAGGTAAGAGGATCCAGGTGTCTTATTCCCAGACATTAATCCCCTCGAGTAATGTAGACACACAGGCCCTCAGTCCCCATTCTCTCTCTGCTCTAGCTCCAGTCACCTCGTCATGGATGCCCCCCACCTATGCTGTTCCTGCCTTCGGATCCCCCCAATGCTTGGCTTCTGGCCAAGACCTGGGTCCGTAGCTCTGATTTCCAGCTGCACCAGCTACAGTCACATCTGCTGAGGGGACACCTGATGGCTGAGGTTATTGCTGTGGCCACAATGAGGAGACTGCCCAGCCTGCATCCTATCTACAAGGTTTTTCAGCTTCTCTGTTTTTTTTTGTGTCTGCCTGCCCTTCATAGTTCATATTCTTAGCCTCAGGGGGCATCTACAGAGTCTAGCCTTGTGTCATGTTGCATTACACACAAACATACACACTATGGGAACACCCAGAGTTGGCGAATGAAAGAGAATAGGGTGTTTTTTTTCCTAAAGATTTATTTATGCATACAAGAGCTGGGGTGCAGGCCAGAGATGCGGGGTGGGGGTGAGAGGATTCACCAGAGACAGAGTGGGGAGCAAAAGAGGTAGATCTACTGAAATACATTGCTGAGGGGAGCAGGGGGGTGAGACAGGAGAAGTCTGCTGCACTATGGGGGTCAGCTCCCTGGCTAGGGATAGAACTCTCTTTGTAGTGGCTGCTGATAGCTTCATAGTGCTCCATCTTAACCCCTTGTGCCACCAGGGAGGCCCCAGTAAGAACAGGTTTTACAAAGGAGTTGAAATTTGAGCTGAGGAGGTTGCCAGGTGGGTAATAAGAGATGGGAACATTCCAATCAGGTAGAGCTATAGAAGTATATGATAATGGCTTCAATTAGGATTGAGGAGCAGGATATGAGTGCTTGAAGTGTTGAGTAGGAGAAATGGGAGGTGGGAGAAGCTGAGAGAATAAGCTATGTTACTTGGTGGGGGAAAAAAATCAAATTCACTTTTGAACTTGAACTTGAAAAAATTACATTTTACCCTGCTATAACTTGAGGGTACTCGGCCTTTATAAGTGAGAGGACGCAAGAGGAGGACACCCATTGAGATAGGGAGGAAAACAAAAAGGTTGATATCATGGGAACCTAGAGAAGAAAATGTTTCAAGAGGGAGGCATGATTATCTGTGTCAGAAATTGCTGAGAGGTCAGCAAAGTTACAATGAAGAGATGTTTGTATTTTCCAATATAAGAAAACCTTTGGTTAATCCATTGATGAGTGCTGTCTCAGGAGAAAGACGCATGACTGACTAGGACTTAATGGAAAAATGTGAAGTAAGGAAGTAGAACCAATTCTAGATAATTCTTTTAAGACTTGTTGTGAAAGAGGAAGCAGGAAATTAGGGGTAGTGTTAATTAGATCTGTGTGTGTGTGTGTGTGTGTGTGTGTCTGTGTGTGTTAGAGAAAGAGAGAGAGAGAGAACACAATACTGTAGGAATAATGTCCGAAGGAAGGCAAAGGGGATGGAAGGAATTTGCCTTTGAACAGAGTAAAGATACATTATTGATAAGAATAAGAGACAAGCTTAAGACATGGTTTCACATGGGAAATTTGCTAGCTTTTGTGGTGTTAGAGAAGGGATTCCCTAGAATTCTTACAAACAACATGAGACCACAGAAGACATTTCCTCATCTCTCTTCTCCCAAATCTTTTTTTTTTTTAAGATTTATTTATTTATGCATACAAGAACTGGGGTACAGGCCAGAGGTGTGGGGGGTGAGAGGATCCACCAGAGACAGAGTGGGGACCAGAACAGGCAGACAGACTAGAGACTGCTGAGGGAGCAGCGGGCAAGGCAGGAAAGGTCTGCTGGACCATGTGGGTAGCTCCCTGGCTGGCCAGGGATCGAACTCATGCTGCAGTGGTTGGCGATAACTTGATAGCTCTGTCTTTAACACCTGCGCCACCAGGAAGGCCCTCTTCTCCCAAATTGTAACCTATCAAATTCAATTTGGAGTTTCTCATTTTCATGAGGCCCCATCCTCCCCCTTCTTTTCGATCCTTAGCCCTTTACTTTCCCCTCCCTTCATTGAACCTGGAATCCCTTTTATTTGACTATGTCCCATTTCTTTCTTCTACAATCAGCTCCTGATCCCCCACTTTCGCTACACCATGGAGATCAACACCTTGGCCCGGAGTACTCTTGTCTCTGAATGGGGAATTTTTGATCTGGTATGGAAAAGGATGGGTAAAAAGGGGAGAAGGGTTCAGTGGTGAAAGACTTCTAAGGGTGGTTTCCCTTTGGCCTTCCCCCTTCCCCCCAAATCCTCCCTGATCTGCCTCACACCTGAATGGCCTTCTACTTAAAGGGGCCTGAGTAGAATTATCAACCTGACACTGATCTCTCTCCTCCCCCCACCACTGGCATGGCTAATTCTAGTTTATCTGCATGGGCTCTCCTCAGGTGGTGAGCACTGGTAGTGGAGGCCATGTGGACATTCTCCAGAGAGCCACAGCTGGTCTGACCTATCGTTCCTTCTGCCCGCCTGATGACCTGGCTGACCGTGGGCTCTTGGATGTGAAATCTTCTTTCTATGGTCAAGATGCCCTCAAACTGTGGGGAATCATCAACCGGTGAGAGTGACAGAGAGGGGTGTCCTAGTGGGCCTATTAGAGAGAACAAGGGAGACTGGTGGGCCCAGAGGCCCTCCACTGGCCACCTGAGACTGGGCGCCTTCTTCCCTGGGGAGCAGGTATGTGGAGAGGATGGTTGGTCTTTTCTACAAGAGTGATGAAGCTGTGAAGGATGATCCAGAACTGCAAGCCTGGTGCAGAGAGGTCACTGAGGTTGGACTTCAGGGAGCCCAGGATCGTGGGTGAGGCGCAGATCCCTTCTCACTGATCTTGTCAACTCACCCCATTTGTTGACAACCCATATCTCTGCCAGCATAAAACAGCCTATCTTGAGGACCTGAACATTCTCTCCGCCTCTCCAGAGCTTCCTCCAGAAAACCTAATGATGGTTCCCAATTCCCCAGCCCTGCTTCTTTCTCATTCTCCAGGTAGTGTTCCTGCTCTCCCGCACCAAGAGCTTCCTTTGGAACCAGATATTTTTCTTGGGTCTTGTCCCTCACCCTTTCCTACTTTCTCCCTATACTACCAAGGTTCATCCAGTTGAACCTAATGGGTCTTCCAATTACATCATTTCATTATCTTGTCGATGAGAAAAAAATCCATTCCCGGCTGGGGTCACATGTCTCCCCATGTCTGTGTGGGCCTTCTCCAGGTGCTCGTGTTGGCTTCATTGTCATGTCTACATTGTCCCAATCTGAGGGGGTGAGTGATGGAAGGGTGTCCTATGCAGATTGGGGTCCCACATTGAACTCTGAACTCTGAACTACTGGGATAGTCTCCAGCTACCCACCTACTGATAAGCAGGTTGGAAAATGACTGAGTGAAAGAATACAAATGTTTAATGTAGAAATGCTCTCAGTCTTTAGAAGTTTGGTGATGTTTTTGTAAGCAGAGATATATACTGTTGGAACTCTTGTTTATAGCAATTAGTCTATGGTAAAATTGATTTCTTTTTTATTTTTTTTGGCTTAAAGTCACCATTTCCAAGAACCTATCAAATAACATTACTTGAGGACTCGGTGTCCACACTGTGTGTAAGACGGAGTCTAGAGGCCACGAGTACAGATGGAAATTCTTGTCTGCCTCTCCAGACATCTTTTACTGCCTGAGGTCTCCTTGTGTCCTCACCCCAAATTGTCTGATTCGCCTCAATTCCCCAGGTTCCCCATCTCCTTAGTGTCTCAGGCCCAGCTCTGCCGCTTTGTCTCCATGTGCATCTTCACGTGCACTGCCCAGCACGCTTCTGCCCACCTGGGCCAGGTAATCAGTTGTGACACCTCTTAGGGACTCCAGGGATGTAAAAGATGGGGGCGGGGAGGTGTCAGCGCCTGGGTTTCTTTCCTTTTTTTTTTTTTTTTTTTAAAGATTTATTTGTTTATGCATACAAGAACTGGGGTGTAAACCAGAGGTGCGGGGAGAGGGTGGTGAGAGGAGTCACCAGAGACAGAGTGGGGAACATAACAGGCAGATTGACCAAAGTACACTGCTGAGGGGAACAGCGGGCAAGTCAGGAGAGGTCTGCTGCGCCATGTGGGTAGCTCCCTGGCGGGCTCATGCTGCAGTGGCTGGCAATAGCTTCATAGTGCTGTCTTTAGCCCCTGAGCCACCAGGGAGGCCCAGCCTGGGTTTCTGAATGACTCTCCTTCCTGTAGCTGGATTGGTACGCCTGGATCCCTAACGGCCCATGTACCATGCGGAAACCCCCTCCCATCACCAAGGATGTGACAGAGAAGGACATAGTGGACTCGCTGCCTAATCTCCAGCAGGCCCGTATACAGAAGACCTTCACAAAGTTCCTAGGCAGACGCCAACCTGTCATGGTTAGAGACAGATGCCTGTGTCCTGGGACAGAACAGCTTGGAAGAGGGTTGTGATTCTTGGCCAAAGGGCCCAAGGTCTGAGTCATCTTGTTCTCCTCTCAGGTAGCCTTGGGGCAGCACAAAGAGGAATATTTCTCTGGTCCTGAGCCCCAAGCTGTGCTGAAGCAATTCCAGGAGGAGCTGGCTGCCATGGACAAGGAGATTGAGGTCCGGAATGCAGGTCTGGACCTGCCCTATGAGTACCTTCGACCCAGCATGGTGGAGAACAGTGTGACTATCTAAGAGGCCCTGCCCACCTCAGCCCCAGTGCACCATGGCCCCTAAGCACTCCATCCTCCTTGGGCCACTTTTCTGGTGAACAGCCTCCCACAGCTCTAGGGAATGCACAGGGGTGGTTCCCTTTGAATTTTGGAAGCCGGCACCCTGTAGTTGTCCTGTCTTGCTGGCCCCCCAGTCCTGCACTCTACCCTTTGATCTAGCTCTTCCCTCTCCTTTTCCCCAAAGGATATGGTTATATATAAATATAACAATCTGATTAAATAAAAAATTTGATGGTGGGTAGTAAAGGAAAGGAAGTGGGAAAAAGACCTAGTTTCCTGCCCTCTCATTTATATTCCAAAATGAGAAAAATAAAGATGCTTTCCTGGAACAGAAATGTTTTCTTGCAGTCAATGCTTCCTTCAAAGGTTTCCTTAAGCCTCTGCAAGCCAAATGGCAGTTCTTGCTGATGGAACTCAGTGGAGCCTAGGAATCTGTTTTGTTTTTTTTTAAAGATTTATTTATTTATTTATTTATACAAGCACTGGGTACAGTCAGAAACGCGGGAGGGTGAGAGAATTCACCAGAGCCAGAGTGGGGAGCAGAGCAGGCAGACTGACAAAATACACTGCTGAGGGGAGCAGCGGGTGCGGCAGGAGAGGTCTGCGCGCCATGTAGGACCCTCGCAGGCACCGGGGGATCAAACTGGTGCTGCAGAGGCTGCGGGCAGCTTCGCAGCCCAGCGCTCAACTGCTGCGCCACCAGGGGAGGCCCCTAGGAATCTGGTTCTTAACATTGTTTTTTTTTTTTTTAAGAGGTATGTATTTTTATTTATTTATTTGTTTGTTTGTTTATTTGTTTATACATGCACTGGGTACAGTCAGAAGAGAGGGAGGGTGAGAGAATCACCAGAGCCAGAGAGGGCAGCATAGCAGGCAGAAGGACCGAAGTACACTGCTGAGGGGAGCAGCGGGCGGCAGGAGAGGTCTGCGCGCCATGTGGGACCCTCCTCCGGTGGCCGGGGAGCAGGTGGGGATCGAACAGGTGCTGCAGAGGCCGCGTGGAGCTTCGCAACCCAGCGCTCAACCACTGCGCCACTGGGGAGGCCCTTAACATTGGTTTTTGACTTGAGACTTCTTGGAGTCATCAAGCAACATAACCCTTAGCCCACCTTTGATAAGGTATTCTGTGCTGCTCCCCAGCCCTGCCACCCTCTGCCCAGTTCCTTTCTCTGGGTGTATCGCCGCCCTTTCCCAGGACCCTAGATCATCTTCCTCTTTTTTTCTGTTTTCTCCTCCCCCCATTAAATCATATACAGCCCACAGTCCTAGACACTGAAAATGGATGGAAAATAAGGATCGAGTAGATCAGGCACCACACTAGGAATTTTAACGACATGACCTCAAGTTCTCTAAATTTTCATCTAAATTACTTTTTTAAAGATTTGTTTATTTAGGGGCCTCCCCAGTGGCGCAGCAGTTGAGCGCTGGGTTGCGAAGCTGCCCGCAGCCTCTGCAGCGCTGGTTCCATCCCCGGCCACCAGTAAGGGTCCCACATGGCACTCAGACCTCTCCTGCCGCCCACTGCTCCCCTCAGCAGTGTATTTCGTCAGTCTGCCTGTTCTGCTCCCTGCTCTGGCTCTGGTGATTTCTCTCACCCTCCCATGCTTCTCACCCTCCCAGGCTTCTCACCCTCCCAGTGCTTATATAAATAAATAAATAAATAAATAAATAAATAAATAAATAAATCTTAAAAAAAAAAAAAGATTTGTTTATTTATGCATACAAGAACTGGGGTGTAAGCCGGAGGTGTAGGGTGGGGGGGTGAGAGGATTCACCAGAGAGACTGAGGAGCAGAACAGGCAGATCTACTGAAATACAGTGCTGAGGGGAGCAGTGGGCGAGACAGGCGAGGTCTAACACCATGTGGGTCAGCTCCCTGGCCTGCCAGGATCGAACTTGTGCTGCAGTGCCTGGCGATAGCTTGATAGTGCTGTGTCTTTAAGCCCTGTGCCACCAGGGAGGCCCCCTCATCTAAAATCTTTTGTCTGAATTTTATCTATGATCTACAGTTTTACTAATTTTTGTTCAGGCATGTCTGCATAGGACAGGCTTGCTGCTATCTGTAAATCACTCTTTTTGGTGATTCCTGCATGGAATGCTCATGACAAAGTCATGAAAGTCACAATATTACATAGTCCTAGGAATGGTTCTTTCTGTCCTAGTCTATCTGCATTGCATGTAAAATGCTTATGCAAAACTCCAGTTGCTGCCATTTGTGTTGTATTTTATGTGAATGTGTTCCCTGGAGTTTGCAGCATAGCAACCATCTGTAAAAAAAATAGTGTGAAAGCATCCCTAATTCTGGAGATGCACTCATTCTTTTAGACTGGGATCCCAGTTTCAAGCTCATCACTTCATCTTTTGCCCCATCTCATTCCAAGGAAGTCTAACAACAGAGCCTTGGTATTTGTTTTTGGCACCTAGAAGCATATTTCTTCAAAATCACAAAACTGTCTCCAAGCTTCTCCCAGTGATCATCTAATGTTTTTTCTCCAGCACATAGTCATTCATCTTTCTCTTTTTGGATTATCTAAAAGCAACATAAATACAACCAATAAGCCATCACTTAAAAAGTGATAGGTTTGTCACCATGTGTAATGGTGACAATTATAAACAAAAGGATAAATGTTATTGATTTCAGGCCATGGTGAATTAAATAATTTGGACCAATGAATTCTGTTAAGTCTAGCTTAGGTCAGTTAGTCTAGTTTTCTAGCTAGATTCGTCTTCCTTCAGAAAACATTTTCTTAATGTGCTGGAAACTAAGCTGGGAGGGGTCCTAGCAATCACAGTCCTCAATATAACTGGGGACTAAGCTCATCTGATGGTGGCCTCCAGTCCCTGTAAGACCTGAATTTCCATTTGACCTTTTAGGTCCCAACCAAAAGTCAGAGGAGAGAAGAAGAAAGAGAAAAAAACAGATTTGGCTGAGAATTAACCAAAATCCATCATCACCGACAGCTTAACCATTACAAACTCCAAACAGAATGAAAAGAAAAAAAAAATACCCTCTTATAATAATAAAACTGCTCAAACCAATAACAAGGAGAAAAATCTTAACAGTAGCAAGAGAAAAAAATCCTCCTTACCTTCAAAGGGACATCAGTAATAAAATAGTGTTTTTCCTAATGAAATGCTGGCTGTCAGAAGACAATGAAATGCTATCTTAGAAGGCATCTTTAATAAAATAATTCTCAGGCTAAAATAAATGATGAATTTCTACAAATAGATAAAAAAAAGCAGGCTACCCTATATAAAAATGGACAAAAGACTTTTAAAAAGAGAAAAGGACTTAAACAGACATCTCACAAGGGGAGAGCCAAGTTTCAATAACTATGGAAAGGATTGTATTTGCTGATCAGGTTTTTAACTTCTGCATCTCTTTACCACTCCTGAGGTATCTGGTAGTGTGGCTGAGATTCCCAGTGGCCACCTGGAGAGGTCTTGAGAACCATGGTGCTCTTGGCTGCTACCAATTTAACTCCCAAGGGTCTCCACTGAGAACAGAGGGAATGGCCCAAGGTCATGAGCCACAATGGGCACCTCTCCCAGCAGCCCAGGTAAAAGTTACAAAAAGCCAACATATCACCGATTTTGACAACTATAATCATTGAGAAAATACCTTGGGATTTAAGAATCGACAGGTCATAAAGTAGCTTTAGGAGAGGTTTCAGGAGAGAAGTGAGGTCAGAAGGCAACACCCATGGGTCAGGAAGAGCATTCAGGAGATGAATCCAGTGAGTGTTCATTAGGCCCCACCTGTGTGTGTGCTGACTTTGGGGACATGGCTTCATTTATTTGAACTTTCATGTCTTTATTTCTAAAACTGGGACAATTAGATCTACCTCAGTGCATTTTTTTTTGGTAAGAATTAAACAGAGAAAGAGAGAGAAAAAACAGAAAAAAGAGATACCAGAAAAAGAGATAGAGCCACCTTTCCTTCGAGAGTGTTAGTGGATTTGACCCATATCTTTTGAAGAACAAATCTCTACTTCCCGCCATATCCCTAGAACTTCTGGGGAAGAGGTTATTGCAAAGAATTAATCATGTTCATGGACATGCAAGTCATTGCCTTTACTCTGTGCTATTGAAACGATAGCTGGAACTCCCTCGTGGCCTAGGGGTTAAGTCTCAGCACTATCACCACCATCACCTGAGTTTGATCCCTAGCAGGGGAGCTGCCCACATGGCACAGCAGACCTCTCCTGTCTCACCCTGCTGCTCCCCTCAGCAGGGTATCTCAGACAATCTGCTGGTTTTGCTCCCCACTCTGTCTCTGGTGAATCCTCCCACTCCCCCAACCTCTGGCCTGCACCCAGTTATTCTACGCATTAAATAAATAAATAAAACAATAGCTGATCAAAAATAACTGAATTTCTCTAACATGAGATGAGTTTTGAGTTTCCATTAACAACGGAAGTAGGACTGGGGAGTGCGCAGCATTGAGAGTGAGCAGGAATAAAGAGAGAAGGAAGGTGAGAGACCTGAGCAAAATGATGCTTGAGGGTTACTGTGAGTCCAGTGTGGGATGTTGGGAATAATAAAAAGAACAGAGCAACAGAGAAAAAACATTTAAGAAGAGACTGTCTTATAGTAAGTGATACGGCCCCTGCTGGTTAGAGGATGATGCAATTTCTCATCCCAGCCACTCCCAACCTTCCAAAAAACTCTGCTGTGTAACTGTCTGAACAATAGCATTCTGGGATAACTTTTAGGTTTGGATCATCAGGGAAGAGAAAGATCAGCACCAGTTGTCAGGTAATGAATAAGGTTGAGAAGCTGGTTTGATATAGTTTGTTTGTGGAACTTGTCACCCCATCTATTATAGACTTTCTTTATTGTTTGGGAAGGGGGTCAAGGTAACCTTAGCTACTACTAAGGGCAAACAGCATGCCCCAGGAAGCCGCAGAATCTAAGTGACAGACTCCAAGCAGCAGACCTAGCAACTTCCTGCTTCAGTGT